CATGCTTTACGTCTCTCATCTCATTTCATCCTCACGACAACCCTCTGACAAAGCAATATTGGCATCCCACGTTCCAGATGAGGAAACCGAGGCACAGAAGGGTTAAGGGACTTGTCTGGGGTCACACAGCTCATAGTGGCAGAGCTGGGAGTTGAATCTTGGCAGTCCTGCTCTTAACTTTAAGCTCTGCTATCTATTACCATTACCAGAGTTATAATTCTGTTCCTTAACTTGGCTGGCAACCACTCTGCCTCAGTCATCTGTCTGAGCAATGGGAGACGGTAAAAATGCATCCCCCCCCCCAACCCAAGGCTATAAAGCCAGGAAGAGTCAGAAATGTGATCCAGGCTGAAGGAGGGCCATGTGGCAGTTGCTGGGGGAGTGTGGCTTACCTCCGCTCCTCACCCCCTGCCCTGCAGGCCCAGGATAGCTGGGCAGGGCCCTGGGGGGCCGCTCAGAGAGAGGCCCCTCTGGCTTGGGCTCATGACTGTGCCCTCCCTCCCAACCTGTGGCCTGAGAAGATGGTGCTTTCTCATGGCCAGAGGCAGAGGCGTCAGCTCCCCTCCTTCCTCTCCAAGGCCCAGCTGTGGGGCAGCCTCCCAAGCTCCCACCAGCCCCGCCTCTTCTACTCCCTGGCCAAGTTGCTGCTCTGTGGTCACCTGGACCCAATTTCCTCCTTCCTGCCTCCTCCCATCTCTGGGAAGCACCCCTGGGCTGCCCTGCCAATTTCCAAAGTCTTCTCCCCCAGGAAGCCTTCTCTGTCCTCCCCCCACCCCCACCCCCAGGTCTCCTACCCCTCCTTGGAACAAGCCAGCTAGCTCCTCTCCCTTCAGCCCCACACATAGAGAATCATTTGGACCATCAGCCCATTTTCCATTTGGTTCCTGGCTGAACATTGGGTCCCCCTGGCCAGACTGTGAGTTCTCTTCCCCAAGGCAGTTATCGCATCGTGGGCTCCACGCCCCCCCCCCCCAGTGCCAGGTAGGGAGGAACCCAGAGCCCGAGTGGCCCATGCTCTAGGAACTGAACCTTGGTGCTCAGAGGCCGAAGCCAGCATCATTGTTAAGCTCTTGAGATCTAAGCACCCCTCCTTTTAGGTGAAGAAACCCTGAAGGTGCAGGGAGGAGAAGGGACTTGCCCAAGGTCACCCAGAGGCCAGGCCAGTACTCAAACCCAGGTCCTCTGGTTCGCAGGTACAGATTTCTGACACTCGACCTAGAGCAAATTTCTAATCCTCCCAGGTCCTCATTTTCAGGCAGGAGACCAAAATAGTCCCCAACAATGTATTATCAGAACCTGCGGGGTAAATTCTGCCTCACATGCCAGATCTGGAAAAGCCCCAAATCCAACCTCCCCTCCATCTACTCCCATTTCACAAATAAGCAAACTGATACCACAAAAGCAGAAGGGACCTCCTCAAGGTCACACCAAGCGGGAACTAGAGCTAAGACTGGATTCCGTGTCTAGTTCTTTGAAGAAAAATTAAGCATCATCGACTAATCCATTCATCTAACAAAGGGTTTTTTTCTGTGGGTTTGTGTGTGTTTGTTTTTGTTTTTTGAGATCCTAATAATGCCAGGCTCTATGCTGGTTGCTAAGAATATAAGGGTAAAAAAGACTGTCCGAGCTGGTAGGGATATGAGGGGGCTCCTGGGCAGGAAATGTGCTGCATCTTGATCTGGGTACAAGTTACATGGTGTGTTCAGTTTGTGAAAATTCATTGAGCTGTACATTTGGGTATGTGCACTCGTCTGAATGTATATTTCAATCAAAAAAAGTTTTTTTAAAGATAGTCACAAGCATTGAGCTTCCAGAGCTACAATATAGTAGAGGAGGTGAGATGTTAACTAATTACACCAATAATTGATTAATTACAATTGTGACAAGTGGTACAACAGAAGTAGAGGGTGCTAAGGGCTGTGGAGTAGCCCTTAGGTCACGTGGGGTGGTCAGGGAAGGCTTCTCAAAGGAAGTGAGGGATAAGCTGAACTGTACAGAATGAGCAGGAATTTAGAGAGTAGGAATGAGTCTCAACCCCTACCTTACACGGCCCGAAAATTAATTCAAGATGGGGCACCTGGCTGGCTCAGCGGTAGAGCGTGCGACTCTTGATCTCGGGGCTGTGAGTTGGAGCCCACACTGGGCGTAGAGCTTAGTTAAAAAAATAATAATTCAAGATGAATCATGAACCTAAATGTGAAAGCTAACACTATAAAGCTTCTAGAAGAAGATGTATGGGAGTATCTCCATGATCTTGGGATAGGCAAAAATTTCTTAGGCATCAAAACCACTAAACATAAAACAGAATTGTCAGGGGATGGGGAAAAAGCATTCAAAAGAGAGAAAACAATGTGTTGAAGGCCCAGTGGAAAGAAGGGGCAAGGTATATTAGAAGAACTGAGAAAAGGCCAGAAGAAGCGAAGGCAGGGGGAGGGTGAAGTGTGAGAGAATCCAAGAGGAGGTAGGGGTCTGACAAGCCAGGGCATTATAGGCTGGGTTAGGAACTGGGAGTTTATCCTGAGAGTACTAGGCAGTCAGAGAAGGGTTTTTTTTTTTTTTTTTTTTAAAGATTTTATTTATTTATTTGAGACAGAGAGAATGAGAGACAGAGAGCATGAGAGGGAGGAGGGTCAGAGGGAGAAGCAGACTCCCCGCCGAGCAGGGAGCCCGATGCGGGACTCGATCCCGGGACTCCAGGACCATGACCTGAGCCGAAGGCAGTCGCTTAACCAACTGAGCCACCCAGGCGCCCCAGAGAAGGGTTTTTAAGTTTCTTTTCTTTCCTTTTTTTTTTTTTAAAGATTTTATTTATTTATTTGAGACAGAATGAGAGAGAGAGAGAGCACATGAGCGGGGGGGAGGGTCAGAGGGAGAAGCAGACTCCCTGCTGAGCAGGAAGCCCGATGCGGGACTCGATCCCGGGACTCCAGGATCACGACCCGAGCCGAAGGCAGTCGCTTAACCGACTGAGCCACTCAGGCGCCTGGTTTTTAAGTTTCTTTTTTCTTTTTAAATTCAAGTCATCTCTACACCCAATGTGGGGCTCAAACTCACGACCCCGAGATCCAGAGTCTCATGTTCTTTCGACTAAGCCAGCCCGGGGCGTCCCAAGAGAAGGGTTTTGGCAGGAGCAGCAATTGAAGCAAAGTTAGGGATAATGTGACCTTCACCTGGGTTTGCAAAATCAAGTACTACCTTCTTTGATGTGCCCAGGACTGCAAGGCATGGCCTGTGCACAACCACGAATAAAAGGACACACCCCCCTTCTCTCTGCTCAGCAACCAGACAAAGCCAGGCTTGGATTTTTGCTTCCTTGCAAATCAAGATGTAGCTTTACAACTTGAAAAGTCACTTAATCCAGGTGTTGCAGGCGGACACTTGGGCTGCGAGGCCCTGTCGTGCCAGGCCCATCCCTGGTCTTAGAGGAGCTGGAGTCAGCCAGCTCCCACCCACGCCCCAGCTCTTGCTATAGCCCCACCTCACCCCTGCTCAGCACCTGGACCTACTCACCTCCTCTCCCTTCTCTCCTCCCTTGGAGAGGAGACTAAAAGGTCTCACCAGGAAGAGCCCAGAGGTCGGGAGTTTCCTTCATCCCCTCCCACTCCCACACACACCAGTATACCCAGCACCAGGGCCCAGCAGAGTCCAGCTGTCTCACCACTCAGGCCTTCTCCTTGCAAAGTGCTCACTGAGGCGCTGAAAGTGGTGACTCCATTCAATTCAACCAACATTTACTGAGCACCTGCTGCGAGCCAGGCAGGTGCTTGAGTAAGAGGGTATTATTCCTCCTCTCCAGGAATTCTTGGGGTGATGGGAGAAAGAGAGAGCAAAATATACAAGTGCCTTATAGAGGAGCAAAGTGCAAGTGAGTATAGAAAGTGAGACTGACTTCACCTGCGGAACAGGGTGTGAATAACAAGGAAAATTTCCTCTAAGAGGTGACATTTGAGCTGGGTCCTAAAGAATAAGTAAAACCGACAGTAAGAAATGCTCTTCGTGACAGTGGAGAGTATAAGAATTATAGTGACCACTGGGGATGTCAGATACTGTGCTCAGCACCTTCTGTATTCATTTACTCCTTACAATGACTCTGTGTAGTAGGTATTAGAATTATGCCCATTTTCTGGATGCAGTAACTCAAGGGCTAGAGAGGGGAACTGATTTGTTTACAAACTTTCACGGCTGCACGTGGCAGAACCAAGACTTGAACCTAGGTCTCTCTGCTTCCATGCTCCTAACTTCTACTACATAGAGCGGCTTGGGCAAAGGACACGTGGAGGAGGGGGGCAGGGGGTGAGACTGGAGGGGTGGAGGCAGGGCTTAATGGCAGAAGCCTTGATGAGGAGTATGGGCTTTATCCAGAGAGCCGTGGGGCCATGGAAGTTTCATTAGTCAAGGAGGGAGTAAAGAGGGATAACACTCACACTCAGCCTTCTATACAGAGGGCCCACATTGAAGGAGTTAGAGACAGAGAAACCTGTGCAAAAGTTGCTACAAAAATCCAAGAAATGGGCGGCTGGCTGGCTCAGTCAGTAGCGCAGGTGACTCTTGTTCTCGGGGTCATGAGTTCAATCTCCACATTGGGTATAGAGCTTACTTTAAAAAAATCCAAGGGGCACCTGGGCGGCTGAGTCATTGGGCGTCTGCCTTCAGCTCCAGTCATGATCCCGGGGTCCTGGGATCGAGCCCCACATCGGGCTCCTTGCTCAGCGGGAAGCCTGCTTCTCCCTCTCCCACTCCCTTGTGTTCCCTTCTCTCACTGTCTCTCTCTCTCTGTCAAATAAATAAATAAAATATTTTAAAAAATAAAAATAAAAATAAAAAAATCCAAGAAAGAGATGAGGGTTGAGGGATGGAGAAGAGGAGGTGCACTGGGGAGAAACCAAGCAGAACTTGGGGATGAAATGGAAGGATTAGTCAAAGATGACATCCGGGGTTTCAGGCCCATGTGTGCACTCCAGAGGGAAGTCCAATAATTGGTCTTTCACAATTTATTGGGCACCCCGTCCGCCAACCATGGCTCAGCTCCACACTTAGCACTCACTTCTGGAAGGTGCTTTATTCTTCTCCAAAATGCGTATTCATCACCTGTTTGTGTATTCATTCACCCAGGATACATGGAGCACCTACTGTATGCCGGATGTTCTGGGAGCTGGGGATAAGCAGGGAATAGGCTAAACCTGACTTATTCGTGGAGAAATGGTTACAGCCTGGGGTCTGGATTTGAATCCTGGTTCTGCAATTCCTTGGTGCTCAGTCCTGGCCAAGCCTCCAGCTGGCTGTGACCTCAGGTAAGTCACTGAACCTCTCGTTGTCTCAGTTTGCTCATCTGTAAGATGGGGGAACTGACAGTATCTGCCACAGGGACTCAGTGGGTACATGTAGAGTCTCTGGTACTGGGTAAGCATTCGGTGACAGCTGTTCCTGGAGTTCACATTTTAGCGGAGACAGGTCCAATCACACAATTAATTATTTGATTACAACAGTGATAAATACCCTGAAGGAGCAGTGCAGTCTGGAGGTGAGGGAAGGCTCCCTTGAGCGAGGGACGGTCCTGCTGAGCGAAACTGAGTGAGTTGGGGCCGGCCAGGTGAAGCACGAGGGAAGGAGGGAGGGTCAGGGGAGGCACAGGGGAGGCACAGGGGTGTCTGATTAGGCAGAGCCTCAGGCTGAAGGAGGTGCGGAGAGGTCCATGTTTCTGTGACTTTACCTCTTTGGAACCCCCACACGATGCTGAGAAGTAGGTCGGGCGGATGCTCTGCTCCCATTTTCTAGAAAGGGCACAAAGGTCCAGAGAGGAACGGCGACTCGGCTGGTCAGTAACCAAGCCTCCTGGTTGATGCTCTGCCCCCACTGATCCAGGGAGCTGGAGAGGCCAGGCCTGAGAAGAGGCCTTTGTCCCCGTGCCCACTGGGGTGGCAGCAGCAGGGGCTGAGGCTGCAGCGGCCAGAGCTGCATTCCTTCCCCTGCCGGCAGAGCAAGTCCAGGCTCATGGCAGGGGCCCGAACGTTCTTTTTTGTCTTAAAAAAAAAAAAAAAAAGAAAAGCACTTTAGTCAACATTAAGTCTTGACTTCAAAGGACATAGCTCCCAACTCTCTCCCCTAACCCTGGGTCTCTCCAACTCCCTGGGGTAAGCCCCCAGGCAGCCAAGTTTCTGGGAAAGGGAATGAGGCCTGGACTTGGAGTCCAAAGACTTTGTGGTGAGCCCTGGCTCAGCCTCCAGCTTGCTGTGTGACCTCGGGTAGGTCAGCAGCCCTCTCTGGGCCTGAGTGTCCCCAGCCAAACAGGGAAGGGAGGGTTGGATGACATCAGGTGGGGTGGGGAGTCCAGCAACCGGCTCCAGCCAGCTGCAGCAGCTTTGCTGCCCTTCAAGTCTGAGGCACTGGGGCCTCGGGGGTCCGGAAGCTGGGGACAGGCAGCCTTTCATCTCTGCTGGCCCAGGGTCGCTGCAGGTTGGCAGGCCCCACATCCCGAGATCGCGTTTCAGGCTGGAAGGGGCCTTCCTGTGACCTCAGCCGGCCAGCCCTGCCCCTGCCCCCCTCCTCCCCATTCTCACCAGAGGGAAGCAGGCAGCATCCCGCCCAAGGTCACCGACCAGCAAGTGGCTGTCCTTCGGCCTGCCCTTCCCTCCCACCCGAGCCAGCACTGCCCCCCCCTGTCCCCCCCCCCCCCAGCCTCCCACAGTAAAGCCTCAGGTCTCCTGGGCCATTAGGAATCTGCCAGGCGAGGCGTGGTCTTCTTCCTCTCTCTTGTTTCTTGGCTTGTTTTCCCGGTTCTCCAACAACCGCCTCCTGCAAAAGCCTCCGGGTGCGTGTACAGGAACATTCTTCTTTAAAAAAAAAAAAGAGAAAGAGAGATGCAGCCACAGTTGGGGTAAAAAAGCAACCAACTCCTTAATCCTTCCCTGTAACCTCTGGCTCCTCAGCTGGGAAGGAAGGCCCCGCTGGGCAGAGGCTGACGCTTGTCCCCTACCCCCTTCTCACCCCCTCCTCACCCGTCTCAGCTCTCTTTCAGGGTTTGGCCTGACTTCTGGAGCCCCGAGGAGACAGGCTGCAGGGTTCAGCAGGGCTGGGAAAGCATGGGGGGCGCTGAAAGGATTGGCTGGGTCTCTGCCCCTCTGCCCACTTGGCCGCCTTCTCAGGAGGTTACAAGAGGAGGATTTTTCACCCCTCACCCATTGCCTCTACGCCCGTTTTCATTCCTTTCTTCTTCTGTTCCAGGAATCACTGGCCTCTTGACGGCAAGGAGCCTGAATGCCATCTCCCACCGCAGTGCTTCATTGTCCAGCACCGGGCTTGGCTCTTCCTGCGGGGCTCACGCTTCCACACTCCGAGCCTTTGTCCAGCCGGACCCCACCGTCCCACTGTCAGGTGGCGCTCGGTGTCCCTGCCACGTCTTGCTCTGCCCACCGAGCCCTTAATTATCTGTTGCAGCCCCAGCACCTGGGTCAGTGCTTGAAACGTAGTAGGTACATAGTGTCTCTGGAATGAATGGATTCAAACCAGAAATAGGTCTCTAGAAACATTCAGAGTGAGCTCGCAAGAGGGACATTGGATTATGGTGCATCCCAGTTAAAGCCCAACACTGCCTCCCTGGCTCCCTGAGAATCCAGTCCGATTCTCTATTGCCACCTCTTCCCACTTGCCGCTCTCATCAGAGGATTTCCTTTTTCCCCAAAGTGCCATCTTTTCTCTTGCCTCTGGGCCTTTGCATGTGAAATTCCCTCTGCTTTCCACACCCTTCTCCACCTCTCACCTGGATGACTCCCTCTGGCCTGTCACCCTGTCAGATTACCCAGCCAGCAGAGCGACCACGTGTTTAGGGCACCAGCAAAGCAGGAATACTAAAAAATATATATATGTATATAATTTTTTTAAATATTATTTTATTTATTTATTTATCAGAGAAAGAGTATGAGGAGGGGAAGGGGCAGGGGGACAAGCAGACTCTCCGCTGAGCAGGGAGCCCCGCCCCTGCTATGTGGGGCTCGATCCCAGGACCCTGAGATCATGACCTAAGCCAAAGGCAGATGTTTAACCGACTGAGCCACCCAGGTGCCCCAAAATATTATTTTAAAAAACTAATCTGAGGGGCGCCTGGGTGGCTCAGTTGGTTAAGCGACTGCCTTCGGCTCAGGTCATGATCCTGGAGTCCCGGGATCAAGTCCCGCATCGGGCTCCCTGCTCTGCAGGGAGTCTGCTTCTCCCTCTGACCCTCCTCCCTCTCATTCTCTCTGTCTCAAATAAATAAATAAAATCTTAAAAAAAAAAAAAACTAATTTGAGGGGCACCTGGGTGGCTCAGAGGGTTAAGCGTCTGCCTTCGGCTCAGGTCATGATCTCCAGGTCCTGGGATTGAGCCCCATGTCAGGCTCCCAGCTCAGCAGGGAGTCTGCTTCTCCCTCTCCCTCTGCCTCTCCCCCTGCTTGTGTTCTGTCTCTGTCTCTCTCTCAAATGAATAAATAAAATCTTTAAAATAAAATAAAAAACTAATTTGATGTTTGATAATTTAAAAAAACATTGAAATAGTACTCATGAGAAAAATTAGAACTTTATTGGGGTTCCTCTTATTTTAGAGTTAGCATTGTTTTTGTGTTGAATTCATACATGGGCTGGAGTGGCAGTAGGTGACATCATCTGGCTCTGCTCTTTGAGGCTCAGCCTAGACATCAGCTATCCCCCCAGGAAGACTTCACTGACCCCTTGACAGGGTTAGGTCTCTTTTTGGTAGTCTCAAAGGCCTTCTGGAATTTTCTTAATATGGATATTTTTGCCTTACTTGTTGCTTTCTATCCCCCCACACCAAGTATGGAAGCATCTTCAGGGCCCAGTTAGAATCTTTCCACCTCTATACCTGCAGCATATACATACAGGTCCTGGCATAGAACTGACCCCAGCTATGTTATTCTCTAGCTTTTATCCAGTCCCCTTTGCAGGGTCTGCACTATACGTCATATTCTTTTTTTTTTTTTTTAAGATTTTATTTATTTATTTGACAGAGAGAGTGCAAAAGCAGGGGGAGTGGCAGGCAGAGGGACAGGGAGAAGCAGGCTCCCCGCTGAGCAAGGAGCCCAATACAGGGCTCCATCCCAGGACCCTGGGATCATGGCCTGAGCTGAAGGCAGACGCTTAACGACTGAGCCACCCAGGTGCCTCTTACATGTCATAGTCTATGTTCTTATTTTATAACCCTATCTGAGAAACTCATACTCACCCTTCAAGGCCCCACTCAAATGACCCATCCTCTATGAACCTGCCCAGTCCCTCAGTTGCATCAGGTTGAGTGTAAGCTTTTGTGAGCTCACAGCTCCTGCTGCAATTGGTGTCTCCCTCTTTTATTGTAATTTTTATGTATGTAGGGGCGCCTGGGTGGCTCAGTCAGTAAAGCGTCTGCCTTCGGCTCAGGTCGTGATCCCAGGGTCCTGGGATCGAGCCCCGCATCTGCTCCCTGCTCAGCGAGGAGCCTGCTTCTCCCTCTCCCTCTGCCACTCCCCCTGCTTGTGCTCTCTCTCTCTCTCTCAAATAAATAAATTTTTAAAAACCTTAAAATTTTTTTTATGTATGTATTTTCTCCCTCACCAGATTGGGAGCTGCTGAAAAACAGAGACTCAGTGGATGTAGTGCCCTGCATTGGCCTGGCCAGACGAGAGAGCAGTATATGGTCTTTAAATGAACAGCCTGGAAGATGTCACAAAGGAGGGAAAATTCAGGCAAGATTTTGCATGTGGGAGAAGAATAACATGTACTCACTGGAGGCATAGAGTCAGTGCACATAAAAACAAATCACAGCAACAATACTCCTGACAACTAGTATTGAGCACAGCGTAGTATGGTGGGTAAGAATGGAGATGAAGCTCTGCCTCTTACTGGTTGTGTGACCTTGGACAAGGTATACCATCGCTCTGTGCCTCAGTTTCCTCATTTGTCAAAAGGGGAGAGTAAAGGTACCCACCTTACCGGGAACTCAATGGGCTAATATCTGCAAGGTGCTGAGAGCTGTGTTGGGCACGCACGGGCGCTTGTGTTTGCTCCATCGCCAAGCACCTTGGGTGTGCCAGGCACTTCCATCTGGCACCCCACTTAGCCCTCACAGCAGCCTGAGAGGCAGGGCTCTTGTGTCCTTTTACCAAGAAATGAGTTGTGTGGGGGCCAAAGGTTCTTGCTAATGCCATTCACTGGATAGGGGACAGGAATGGGATTTGAACCCACGTCTCTCTGGCCTGCCGCCCACCCATGTTCCTTGACTGTGGCACCTGCCTGCAGGATGAGGGGGAGGAAGAGAAGATGCCCCAGTGGGAAGGCAGGGAGGCTTTCCGGAGATGGGGCCTCCGGAGCAGAGCGGCAGGCGTTTTTCTAGAGCTTTCATTTCTGTCTCCCTCTTCTGAGCAGGTGAAAAACCCCATAGAGGGCCCTTCACGGAGTGCTCCCCCTTGTCCTCCCCCTCCTGATGCTGCCTCATCCCCCCACGCTGGGAGGGGGGAGGTCAGGCATGCAGCGTGGGAGATGCAGGGGAGGGGAGTGAGGAGGTAGGGGAGCATCATTCCAGATCCTTTCCCTCTGGCACCCCCCTTTCCCCATCACAGGCGCTCCGGGAGGAGAGAGCATTCCAGGTGGAAGGAATGGCAAATGCAAAGGCTGTGGATTAAGGATGTGGAGGCGGGGAAAGCCTGCGAGCTTGGCTGGAACTGAGGTTCAGGGCCCCCTGGGATTGCTCAGTGGAGAAGAACTTGTTTGACGAGAGGGAGGGAGGGAGGGAGAGAGAGAGAGAGAGAGAGAGAGAGATACGCAGTGGACCCAGCAAGAGCTGAGGATGCTAGAGGTAGGGTAGTGGCTGCAGACTATTCTGGGCTCTGAACACAGTGGTCTCCATCCTCTTCCCCTCAACCAGGGCTGGTGAAGAGGGGTCACTGTGATTCTTCATGGTCCCTGTGCTTTGTTTCTTCCCCTAGAATCCCTTAACACACTGGGCTCTGCCAACTCTGTACCGGGAATTGGTTCATGGCTTTTTATGCATTCCCTCAATGTGTTTTTCTCCCCAGCTCAAGATCAGTATTATTCACTCCATTTTATAGAGGAGAAAACTGAGGCTCAGCCAGGTTTTATAACTTGCTTAAGGTCACACAGAGGGTAACAGGCAGATCCTGGACTCAAACCCAAGACTTTTTCTGCAGATGGCAATTTTGCCGGCTATACTGGTTCAGGCTGCTTTCCCCAGGGTGTTTGCCATCCCCATGGCAACAATGAGAGGCCCTCCTGTGCTGACAGCACTTCATAGTTTATGCAGGCCTTATTTTTTCGGCTCCTCACAACAGCCCTGTAGGCAGAGCTGCTATCATCCCTATTTCATAGATAAGGAAACTGAGGCTCAGACGGGGGTGTGACTTGGCCAAGACTGTTGGGACTCAAACCCAGTTCTGGTGACTCTAAATGTCTTTTTGCTTTCCCTTGCAGAGGAAGAGGGTCTGTTCCCTGCTCTAATCTGCCCCTTAGGGCAGGGAACAAACAGGCAAGGGTTACTTTTCAGAATTGGTGGGAAAGAGACGGGTTTGGTCTTCAGAGCCTGGGACTCGGCTACTGGCAGTGGATAATTTCATCCCACCAGGTGATAACTCTGACTGCTTGGGTAGAAGAGGGAGGGCTTACCCTCAAGAGTATTAAGTCCACTCGTGCTCAGAGGCTGGGTTCGAATTCCAGCTGTGCTGCTTGCTGACTGGGTGGCCTTAGGCAAGTCATTTAACCTCTTCGTGCTTCCTTTGTCTCATTTGTAAAATGATGGTAATGACAGGACCTCACTCATAGGACTACTCGGAGGATTTATGAGTTAATGTATGGACAGCACTTAGCATGTGTTTGACACATAGGAAATGCTCAGTGTTAGCGCTTATTAATATCACTATTAAAGTGTTCGGCACCATCCCCTCAGAAAGCATCTTGTCGATGTCCGTAAAAGGAGAAACTATGGCTCCTGTTGCCAGACAACCTTCAAGCAAAGCTCCAGAGTCGTACCTAGGACAGGTGGTAATGCGTATATCGACAATAATAATTATTATTAAATTACTAGTAAAGTTACTGTTAGAGTCAATGACAATACTATTAAAGTTAACATTCAACAGCTGCTTACTATGTGCCAATCACCCGTGCTAAGTGCTTTGCATCTATTATCTCATTTAACTTTCACAGTTCTGGGAGATAAAAACAATTATGATTCCCGTTTTACGGATAAGGAAACTGAGGCTAAGAGAGGTGAAGTCACTTGCTCAAGGTCACACTGCTAGAAGTGCTATAGCTGTGATCTGAATCCAGGCTTGCCTGGCTTCAAAGTCGTCCAAAACAATTAAGGTCAGATGACAACTTGCCCAGTGTACAGACGCTCGCATCAGCTCTCTCCCAAACTTATCTGATGGATCTGCTGCCTCAGGCTCACCTCCCTCCATGCTGGGAAGACCGAGCACCTTTTATGGAGTGCCTTCCATGTGCCAGAACACTTTAGACATGTTCCACATTGAATCCTCACCCTCACCCTATGACACTTTATCATTATCCCCATTTCTTAGAAAAGGAGATGAGGCATAGAGAGGTGTGGTGACGGGTCAAGGTCACAACAGTCTGAGGTGAGATGGCAGAGTGAGGATTCAAACCCTGGGTTGGCCTCAAAGCTTGCATTCAGGGCCTACCAGAAAAGTACACAGACCCTTGGAAATGAGCCTCACTTTCAAAGCCAGGTTCCCTCCCCTGTTAACACCTCATTTGTTTAGGCACCCCCGCATGAGCTCTGCCCTCCCTCCCCATTGCCACTTATCCCAATTGGCCTGAATGCCTTCCACACCCTTTCTCTTGGCCTGCAACATTTCTTCCAAACACCTGCTGCCTAGTTAACCCCCATTCACCAACTCACCCTGAGATATCACCTCTTCAGGGAGCCTCCTCTGGCCGCACCCCATCCTGACATTCACTCTCATAATAAACACCTTGTACTTTGCCTTCTTGTTCGCTATCATAGTTTCTAACTCTATTTCGTCTGGTTATTTGTTTTATGACTTACTTCCTCGCTAAACTCTAAGCTCCATGAGGGTCTGTTTTGCCCACCATTGTACTGCACCACTGGCAGGCTGCCTATCCATAGTCAGTGCTTAATTTTTTTTTTTTTTTTTAAGTAAACCCTACACCCAACATGGGTTTTGAACTCACTGACTCTGAGATCGAGTCGTATGTTCTACTGACTGAGCCAGCCAGGTGCCCTGGTGCTTAATAATTTTTTATTGAATAGATGAATCCATGAATGAATAGATAGCTACCAGGTACTTTACACACATGACTCATTAATTCCACAATTAACTCATTGAATCCTCCCAGCTGCCCTGTTGTCCCCATTTTATTTTTAAATTTTTTAAAAAGATTTATTTATTTATTTATTTGACAGAGACACAGAGATAGAGGGGACACAAGCAGAGGGAGTAGGAGAGGGAGAAGCAGGCTTCCCACTGAGCAGGGAGCCGGATGCGGGGCTCTATCCCAGGACTCTGGGATCATGACCTGAGCTGAAGGCAGACGCTTAACGACTGAGCCACACAGGTGCTCCTATTTTTGATTTTTTAATTTTTATTTTTTTAGCAGTGATGTGGACATATATATTTTTAGCACTGATGTGGATGTATATATATCTTAAGATTTTATTTATTTGACAGAGAGAGAGCACAAGCAGGGGGAGCCTCAGGCAGAGGGAGAGGGAGAAGCAGGCTTCCCTCTGAGCAGGGAGCCCGATGTGGGGCTCGATCCCAGGACCCCGGGATCATGACCTGAGCTGAAGGCAGACGCTTAATGACTGAGCCACCCAGGCGCCCCTGTCCCCATTTTAGAGAAGACATAGGTGAGGCTCAGAGAGCTAGAAAGTGGTGGAGGTTGGATTCAATTTCAGGTCAGGCTGACCCAAAGCCACTGACTTCTGCACAGCACCTGCTGCCTCCCAGCACCCAATGGCCACAGTCACGATTTAAATAGTCACTGGTTGTCAGACCACACGTCCCAGTTTGAGCCTGGAGGTCACGGACTCAGCCAGCACTGAGGCTCTTTCAGCACCACGCACTTGGTGGTCTCTGCCCTTCTGAAGTCTTTTCGGCTGCTCCGCCTCCCGCTCCCCTCTTGGCCTCCTTCCTTTCCAGAGAAGGAAAAGGACTAGGAATTACAGCCAAGGCAGCCCTTCTGGGAAAAACAATCCTGCAATGAAAAGAGCCCTGTTCTGAGAGCAGACAGACCTGGATTTAAGTCTTGGCATGGAGGCTGCCCTGCTGAGGGCCCACAATGGTGTCACTGCCCCTCTCTGTCCTTGTTTGGGATTCTGTCTGGGTTGCTGACCACCTGTCATCCTCTACTCACCTCCTGATTCCTAGGGCCCTAGAAACATCTGGGGCCTATGGTGACCAGAAGGAGGGGAACTGGCCTGGCACTCTCGAGACACTCCCTGGAATGCTAAAGGGTTGGTGGAGGAACGTCTTTCTCAGGGGACACCAGGCCTGAAAGGAGAAATACAGAAATGGAAGACAAAAGGTACAAGTTTGAGTCCTAGGGTTGTTTCAAATTCCCTGGGTGACCCAGGGTAAGTCCTGGAGTTTTCCATTTTCTCTCCTGCAAAACGAGGACAATATCCGCCTTACAGAGTTGATCTAGAGAACTAAATGAGAGATTTTCGCTAACTTGTGAATCTGTCATATGGTATCCAGCTGCAGCCTTTTATAATCAACAAGACGCACATATACCCAACTCAGGCGTGCAGCCTCAACAAACGCGCCCGGACATGAGGCAGACATGACTGCTCCTATTTTGCAGAAGGACAAAACTGAGACCCAGATAAGTTCAGGAAGTCGTCTGAGGTCGCAGAATGAGGCGGCGGCTGACCACGGTCTCGGCTCACCTGACCCTTGCCTGTCAGAACCAGCTCCCAGTCCCAGGACCCCAGACCTCGCCCCGGAAGACCCATTCAGCGGCTCACTGGAGCCTATGACTCACTCTCCCCACCCTACTTTCGGTCGGGCCCGAGACCCCGAGAGGAGAGGCAAAACTATCTGCAACTTGAGGGGTGTCCAGAGAAAGTTCATGGTTTTGGCCCCTTCCTTCCACCAAAAATCCTGGTTCTTTGAACTCTAACAAGAAGAATCCATCTTTCAATACACTTTGTACGAGGTTTTACGCTTTCTTAGGTGGGATTTTCCTACCTTGAATTTAGGAGTTGACTCAGTTTAATCTCCACCCCCACTTCACTTGGTTTGCCCTCCCGCTGTTTACTCCGATTGCGGAAGTAGCTCGGGTGGAGCTCCCCAGTCGGTATCCTTGAGTACGTCTTTTGCGTAGCTATTTAACTGGCACTCCACTCAGGCCAATGGGATGCCCGAAAGCCCCAGGAGGGTGGGGCAGAGAGCCAATCAGGGCCGTTGGCGGGGTGTGGCTGCGTCCCAGGGAGGGGAATGGCGTAATGGCGGACGCGGGCCGGGTGAACGCGGCTGGGGGCGTAGCGCGCTGAGGGGGGTCTGGCTGTGTGGCATCCCCGGAGGCGGCCCGCGGGAACAGACCCCGTGCGGGGAAGGGCGGCTGGCCGGCCCATCTGTCGCTGAGGGCGACCGCGCGAGACCAGGTGAGCAACAAGTCCCCGCGGGCGGGCCCCACCGTGAGGCGCCGGCCCGGCCGCGCCGCCACCCCCCACCCCCTGCCCCGAGCCTCGCGGGGTCCCGGGGGAGTGGGTGGCGCGCCTCCTGCCGCGGATGGGGAGTGCCCGGTCGAGCGGTCAGCGCGGGGTGGCCTAGAACTCTACACTCGCCTCCCCAGGGAGGAGGTGTCCTGGAGATCCCCTCGGAGACTTGGAGGGGCCGGCGAATCTGTGAGGCTGCGAAAGTGCCCCCAGCCTGACCTGGCGCTGCCACTCACTCGCTGTGTGACCTTGGGCAAGTCACTTCCCTCTCTGGGCCTCAGTTTCCCTCTTTGTAAAACGAAGGCTTTGCAGGCAGTTGTACATGAGTTGGATCTCAGATATTCTTGGAGATCTTGGGCAGGTTCTTCTCCAGGCGGAGCTTCAGTTTCCATCTCTGGGCCATGAAGGAATTGTAGTGCTCTTTGAGATCCCTGGCCTGCTAAGTTGAGGAGTGGCGGAGAGGACTGTGTGCACGTACGTGTGTGTGTGTGTGTGTATGTATGTATGTATGTATATGTACAGGATGGTTCTGCAGGGTAAGGAGGAGAGTTGGCTAAAGGGGCTCTTGCATGAAGGCTGGATGGATCCCAGGTGTCTCGGTCCTCCAGGATCCTAGAGCCTCTGAGATGGCAAAGTTTTATACACTGGTGCTCCATAGCATCAGAGGAGAGGAAAGCATCCTTGGAACCTCTTGGGGCAGTGATTGAAATTTAGGCCCGAAAGAATTCAGGAGGGTTAGGAGTAGGAGGGGGAGCATTTATGGTGCTCCTACTCTGTACCAGCCCTTGTTTAGGCTTATGTTTTTACTTAATTTTTACAGCTGCTGTTGAGAATTTACACATAGGGAAACTGAGTTTCAGAGAAATTAAGTAACTTGTCCACGGTCACACAGTGAGGTACAGCACTTATCAACCATAACGTGGTTTCCTTTGAGAATCACCAGACAAGGGGGAAGTCATTGTCGACTTAAAAGAAGTTTGCTTTGTCACAAATGGGGGGAGGGGTCTGGTCCCAGACACTTGAATTGACCTCTGGCATGGAGACAGGCTGGACCTTGATCTCTGGATGGCTAATTATAAGTGCATTCCCTTTCTTCAGTCTGTGACTTGGAAAGGACCATTTGTAAATTGTAAAAGTTACTTTGAAGTATGTCAGAACCTCAAAGAACTCAGTTTGAATCCTGACTGGGTGACTTGTAGAAGTTCACCAACTGTTGGTGACTTGACTCTTAGTTCAGAGGTGCCAGGCCAGTTACCTTTTCTCTTCCCTAAGAAGGCTAAATTTTCTTGGGACGAGAGAAATTTCCCACTTGTTCAAATTTCTTTGGATTCCTGGAACGAAAGTTTCAGTATCCTGCCTCTGATGAAGTGTAATGTTCCTTCTTTTCTTTGTGTTCCCTGTTATCTGACTTGTAGATGAGTGAAGATTGTGGACCTGGAGTCAGAGACTAGTAGTTGGATACGATAAATTGTAGCCCTTAGTTTTTCCAAGCCTCAGCTTTTGGTTAATCAAAATGGTAGGACCGGCAGTGTATTGTTCCCATATGTCAATGGTAGGGAAGAAAATTGGGAAGAGGAAGTTGCTGAGAAAGAGGGCGTTTCTTAGCAGTGGAGCCAATATGTATTTCTTTGTTTGAAATTCTAAAACCAGAAAAGCAGCAACTGAAGGAGGAAGGAAGGAAAGAACTGTGAAACTCTTCTTCCACGTCAGCTATCTTTAAGAGCTGTTCCTGTTGCTGTCCCTGTCCCGCTTTCACAGAAAAAGTCAATTGTAATTTGTTCAAAGTTGAGAAATTGTATTCTAGAATGATACCTTTATTTTTTATTTATTTTTAATTTTTATTTATTTAAGATAGAGCACAAGCAGAGGGAGCAGCAGGCTCCCTGCTGAGCAAGGAGCCTGATTCAGGACTCGGGACTCCACTCCAGGACCCTGAGATCATGACCTGAGCCGAAGGCAGAGGCTTACCGACTGAGCCATCCAGGCGTCCCTAGAATGATAATTTTAGATATGCAACCCTCTGAGATAAATTTCTTAAAAGTCAGAACATTTTACTGAGTTTGTTGTTTACCAGTGGATGATTCTTTTTCTCAACTTAAATTGCCAGTTGCAGTCTTTGGCCTGTCTTAACTGTGATTTAAATTAGTGAATTTCAACCTAAGAAGAATTGATCTAGATACTGGATGATGCAGATACCGCCGTCACTTGAAAAAACACATAAGGGTGTGTTTGAGTTTTGACATTTGTTAAAAGTCTTTTTAATGCTTCGTTTTACAGGATTGTGTATGTGTGAATAGTTGTTAAGGCATCGAATTTATTTTATCTGAAGATCTACCTTCATTCTCTATATTAGTTATATTTTCTGTGTAAGACAGACTTAATTAGCATACCAGTCCATAGTACCTTGGGGCCAAAAAAAAACCAAAAACAACAACCACACCACATCAGTTCTTGGGACCATATGTTTTTTGAATATAGAACTTTTGGGATTTTAGAAAAGGAATATGGTACATGTACTGTGTGTTACGTAACATCCCAGAGAGGTGAGGGGCAGCACCTTGTAATCAAACACATTACCATTTCTGTAGTAAATGTTCATTCCAACTGGTATAAATAAATACTATAAATAGCCTCATGTCATTTCATGTTGGGTTTTGCTACCAAATGAATAATGAAAAACTTATTTTTACAGCCTTTTAGATTTTGGAATTGAAGTTAAGGGATTGTGGATAAATGGGTAAAAATTATGGGTCAATATAAGTTTGGATAAAAGTTATATGATGACAAGGACAATTACAAGGAAAAATATTGTAAGCCAAACTAATTTCAAAGCTGTGGGTCCTAAAAACAGTAGTACATGGAAGACAGTTTTTGTTCATGTGCTTCTTTCATGTAATTGTCTTATTATAATTAATACGTGCCAATGTACATTTTTCCTTAAGTACCCAAATTTACTTTTTTTTTTTTTTAAAGATTTTATTTATTTATTTCACAGAGAGAGGGAACACAAGCAGGGGGAGAGGAGAAGCAGGCTTCCCACTGAACAGGAAGCCCAGTGCGGGGCTCCATCCCAGAACCCTGGGATCATGACCTGAGCCGAAGGCAGACACCTAACAACTGAGCCACCCAGGCGCCCCTCAAATTTATCTTTTAATACCCTCCTTGTTCCCTTTTTTAGATCTTTGAATGGCACCCTAACCTTCTTTTTAATTTTAATGTATTTTTATTATTTTTTTTCCCTACACCTCTTTTTAAAAAAGTAATTTATAGGGTCTTGTGCTCACCGGTTTTTGTGTAACAGTTAAGAGAATTATACCTTTGGGGCGCCTGGGTGGCTCAGTCGTTAAGCCTCTGCCTTCGGCTTGGGTCATGATCCCCGGGTCCTGGGATTGAGCCCCCCATCGGGCTCCCTGCTCGGCGGGAAGCCTGCTTCTCCCTCTCCCACTCCCCCTGCTTGTGTTCCCTCTCTCTCTGTGTCTCTCTCTGTCAAATAAGTAAATAAAATCTTAAAAAAAAAAAGAATTATACCTTTTTCTGTATAATTCAGAGAAAGACTAATCAGGTGAGGATCTGTAGATTTATGTTTGCAGAATTTAAAGCTCATTCTCTCTTCAGGGTGGTCTTTAGTATGAGGTCATCACTGCTGGATAGGATTTAGGTTGAAAAAATAATTTTTTATTTTATTTTATTTTTTAAAGTAAGCTCTGTGCCCAGTGTGGAGCTTGAATTCACAACCCCAAGATCAAGAGTTGCATCCTCTACTGACTGAAAAGTTTTTAATTTTGGGATGTCTAGCTGGCTCAGTCAGTAGAGCATGTGATGCTTGATCTTGAGAGTGTGAGTTCAAGCCCCACTTTGGGGGTAGAGTTTACTTAACAATATTTTTTATTTCTAATTTTTGAAGCTTCCACAGTTTGAGTATCTTGGTAAGGAGTTTAATAAAATATATTTAATTTAGAGTATTTTTATTTTAAGTGTATGCTATATGAGAAATTTGCATTTACCAGCCTTATGAATTTGGGTGATTTCTTTAAATGGCCAGGTCCTCTAGGAGTAAATTAAAAAAAAACTCTATTCTTTACTCTTCTTGGGCAGTTCAGCTATAGAGTGAGGTAGACTGGTGGTGTTGGAGGTGAAAGAATTACTTCTTCTCTTTAAAAGAGGCCCCATGGGAAACCTCGGTTGAGCGTCTGCCTTCAGCTTGGGTCATGATCCCAGGGTCCTGGGATCGAGTCCCACATTGGGCTCCTTGCTCAGGGGGGAGCCTGCTTCTCCCTCTGCCCCTCCCTCTGCTTGTGCTCGCTCACTCTCTCTCTCTGACAAATAAGTAAATAAAAATCTTTTAAAAAAAAGAAGCCTCATGACAGCATGAATTTGAAAGATTCTGGCCTTCAGGATACCCCGTAACCTCCTGATTTGTGGGCCTCAAATTCATCCTCCTACTTGGGGTGTCTCCATGGTTCCTGCGAATGGTACTTTTACTGTCTGGGAGATAGAAAGGGTATAGAACAGCATATCAGGAGTTGCAGGTGGATTCGGTGTACGACTGGACTAGGCAATAGGAGCAATTCTTATCCAGACTACCCCAGTTTCTTCTATTTTATAAGCACTGATAGAATTGCAAAAGAACTACAATTGGTGGACTAACATCCTTTTCCAAGGTACTCTGTTGTGACTGTGGATAAGCTCTTCAAGACAGGAACTGTGTCTTGTACTTCTTTTGTATTCTGTA